TTGGTTTATCTTTGCCGTTTTGCGTTGAAAAACGGTCGTGCTTCTCCACGAATGCGAGGAGGTTATCATTTGCTAGTTTTCTCGGAAACTAGTCGTTCGTCGTCACATAAGTACGATATTTATCCTCTTTGCTAATTTGCTTGTAAATTAGTCGTGTGATTCCACGAAAGTGAATTAATCTCGAAATCGGTTTCACTAGCCGATTTTGATATATCGATTTTGGCGACTCTATTGTTTACACCGTAAATAGTTAGGTGATCTTGTGTTGGCCACGAAAAAGCGTCGACACGACCATCGAGCGTTAATCTATATCCATAATAATGCCGAGGTTGAAAAAAAAAAGTCATGTAGTCCAAAACAGACGTGCCACAGCTAGTTTTGTAGTTGCGATGCTCTCACGCCTTCTCCCTCCGCTCCGGCGAGGCGTTGGCGTCTGCGGGGGATGCTTCCTCGCCGGCGCCTCCTTATCACAGCTGTATGCCGCCACAACGACGGAATGCACGCAGTGCTCCTGCATCCACCGCCTCTGGTGGTGGAGCCTCCAACTACTCCGGCGATGGGGTTCTACCCGGCCGCGACGACGACACTGTCCACGGCTGCGCAGTGCGTTCTTGTCGTCGGAGGCATTCTTCTCGCTCGAGCCACAGTCCGCCAGGAGCACGGTCAGAGGCCGCTGCGGTTGCCATCGGGAAGCGGTCGTCGCCAGCTCCGGTTGTCGTCTAACGTGCCCGCCGGGAATCAGCTCCGGCGACGGCAGTTACGTCGTGAAGATCGTGCCCGCCATTACGTCTGGGGTCACGGCGATTCTGCCCACTTGCTCGGCGGCGGCGCCATTGCAATTCCAGACGTCTTCCTCGTCGGCGGCCTTGATGAAAGATGCATCAAACCGGCACAGTGCCATCCATCGGCTAGCTAAGCCATCCTAAACAAGTTTGTTTAATGCTAGTTTTGTTCTTAATTTGGCTCTGGTGGTACTACTTTGGAATACAGTAGCTGTCTGTGTCATTCAATAAAGGCTGTGTTTAGTTCACGTCAAAATTGAAAGTTTGGTTGAAATTAAAACGATGTGACGGAAAAGTTGGAAGTTTACGTGTGTAGAAAAGTTTTGATGTGATGGAAAAGTTCGAAGTTTGAAGAAATATTTTGGAACTAAACAAGGCGAAAGGCTAGATTTCACAAAACTACAACAGTTGTATCAAAACTATCATTTTGCTGAAATTTGTAGGTAGGAGTTTCAGTAAATTGCTACAACAAAAATTCATTTTATCATAGAATTATAGACTCTATTTACCTTAAAGGTCATATCCCACTTATCAGGCACACATGTAATACATTCATCCTTCGGACCCATCATTTCACTTATTCATGGAATAAGTCAAACGGCATATTTGCAAACGAAAATAATTTATAAATAAAACTTATATATATATATATATATATATATATATATATATATATATGTTCTTAGCGATCTAAAAGCAAAGGCTGAAAAATAAACTTCTATGAAAAAACCTTAAAATCAGCTCCAAATTTAATGTTGAAAATTCAAAGTTTAGCCGATAAGCATAAGCATAAGCAAAAATATGAGATCTTTTATCAGTTAGACTCACATGTCAACCACCGCTGTGGGTGAAAAGTTACGATTTTCTGACTCAATTGTTTGCTATTGTTCTAGTTTTGTGAAAATAGTAGCACTTAACAGTGAAATTTGGTAAGCCTCGAAGTCATCATTAGTCTATAGTCAGTATCAGCTTCAGAGTCCTGGAATTAGCCGATGGGAATTATCAAGGTGCAAATAGTCGGATTCTTACCATATCTAGAATAGACCGAGTTCAAGGGAGATGCAGCATGACAGTTTATCTATTAATTAGGAATAGTACATTAGTTTCCTGTTATCTTTAGGAAAGTGTGTTTAGTGTCTGATATGCACTTTATGTTTTCCATTTATCCTTAGGAAAGTTTCTTTCTTGTATAAGGACAAGTATCTATCCATAGGTATAAATATGTACATCCGAGGTCATTGAAAATTATCTCTCGATCAATACAACTACTCTCGGCGCATCACCACCCTCTTTTTCGAGGTTTTTAGTTATCATCGGCGGAACATCGCACCTGACGCAGGGCTGCATTGGCTTTCGATCACTACAACAAATCTGGGCTTCTATGACGATTACCTGATGACAGAACACATATCTGTCATAAACAGAGGCTGTTTATGACGACTGTTCACAGGATGACAACTGTTTATGATCAAACCGTGTATCTGTCATAATCATCGTCACAATATACTCTGCATGGGCTCTGTGACGATAGCACGATGACAATAGTGGATCGTCATAAAATATAGAACAATTATATTTTTTAAAAACAAAAAAAATCTTGTTATACTACATTGCTCCTAGACCATAAATCATTTGTCCTAGGTGTACTCTTCTTGTCTACTTCAATTCTAGTCTCTCATTTTAGGATTTTAGGATTGAAGTCATCTCTAGTCTCATTTTATGAATGAAAAAAAATCAAAATTATGGCGTTTCATTTTATGATTGAATGAAAAAACTAAAAAAAAACAAACTAAAATGGCTATAAGTTGGTTTGAACCTGCATTACTACAAGAAATATGACCTTCTGTGAAGAATTCCTCGTAACATCGGAGTTATTTGTTATTAGCACATTCCATTTTATGACAATTAATTAGTATGAGATGGGGAGGCTTAGTGACAAAAACATTTGCTTTAAAAATCATGGCCAAAAATATTTTTTTAATATTCTACGTGGTCTAAATTATTCTTTGAAATTTTTCGTGAATTTTCGGAGGTCAATAACTAATTTTAATACCACAAAGTTCATTTAACCTATTAAAATAAATGGAAAAAAATTAAAATTCCTCTCTCTATCCTTGGGCCTTTTTCGGCCCAAGTATTACTCTCCCTCTCTCAGCCCGCAGACTCCCTCTCCCTCCTCCTCCCTCTATGGGCCGCCGGCCCAGCCCTTTTAATCCTCCCTCGCCGAGAAGTCCATTTTAGCTCCCTCCTCTGAATTCAAATAACTTTTTGCGTAATAAATGATTTCAGATAAAAAAGTTATCAACAACAAAATTGTATAAATTATCAAGATTTACAACTTTTATTTTGTTCATTTTACTATATAACTTTGTTTCAATAATTTGAATTTGAATTTCAAATTATGACAAATTCAAACAACATTTTCAAATACTAAATGATTTCAATTGAAAAGTTTATCAACAACAAAGTTTTATAACTCATCAATACCTACAACTTTTGTTTTGGTAATTTTTCTATATGACTTTATTTTAATAATTTGAATTTAAATTTCAAATTATGACAACTTCAACCAATATTTTCAAATAATAAATGATTTCAACTGAAAAAGTCATCAACAAAAAAGTTGTATAACTCATCAATATCTATAACTTTTATTTTGGTCATTTCTTCATCCGAAAAAGTGATAGTAATATTGTTTATAAAATTTACATATCTCTTGTATGATATAATAAACTATAAGAGAGATATGTAAATTTTGTGAACAATGTTACTATCACTTTGTCGAATGAAGAAATGATCAAAATAAAAGTTATAGATATTGATGAGTTATACAACTTTCTTGTTGATGACTTTTTCAGTTGAAATCATTTGATATTTAAAAATATTGTTTGAAGTTGTCATAATTTGAAATTCAAATTCAAATTATTGAAACAAAGTCATATTGTAAAATGACCTAAATAAAAGTTATAGATATTGATGAGTTATACAACTTTGTTATTGGTGACTTTTTCATTTGAAATTATTTAGTATTTGAAAATGTTGTTTGAAGTTGTTATAATTTGAAATTCAAATTTTATATAGGTCAATAAAACTCAAATGGAGAAATAACCAAAATAACATTGGTAGATCTCAATAAGTTATACAACTTTGTTTTTGACAACCTTTTCAAATAAGTTCATTTATATGATTTTTTGTGTGTTACTTCACAATGCTACAATAAAATAAAAATAAAAAAAAGGTTAAACAGAGGTGGACTGAAACTAGGCCTATTATGGGCCAGCCCTTTTGCTAATTCCTCACCGAAAAGTTCATATTACATCCCTCCTTTCAATTAATTTCAAAATATTAAACTTCGAATCGAATTTTATCATACTAAACGAACTTACGTGAAAAAGTTGTCAAAAACAAAATTGTATAACTTATTGAGATGTACCAAATTTATTTTGGTTATTTCTCCATCTGAGTTTGACTGACCTATATAAAATTTGAATTTCAAATTATGACAACTTCAACCAACATTTTCAAATAATAAATGATTTCAACTGAAAATGTCATCAACAACAAAGTTGTATAACTCATCAATATCTAAAACATTTATTTTGGTTATAAACTATAAGAGATATGTAAATTTTATGAACAATGTTACTATCACTTTGTCGGATGAACAAATGACCAAAATAAAAATTATAGATCTAGATGGATTATACAAATTTGTTGTTGATGACTTTTTAAGTTGAAGTCGTTCACTAATAAAAAATTCTATTTGAAGTTCTCAAACTTTGAATTTTAAATTTCAAACTATTCAAATAGAGTCAGACGGAGAAATGACCAAAATAAAAATTTTGCATCTCGATGAGTTCTACAACTTTGGTTCTGACAACTTTTCCATTTGAAATCATTTATTAACCCAATTTTTGTTTGAAGTTGTCAAATTTTGAAAATTCAAAATTTGAATTGTTCAAATGAACTTATTTGTAAAAAGGAGCAATACAATAGTTGTAGATCTCGATGAGTCCTACAATTTTATTGTTTATGATTTTTGCATTTGAAACATAAAAATCAGCCTAAAATTAAATTTAAAGTTCTCATTAATTTAAGGTGAAATGCCCATTTTGACCATACAATTTTGTAACTACTGAGAACACACCAGGGACAGTTTGGTAAATTCGCGTCGGAATGCTTCTTATCCATATATACCTTGTTCTCCAAACCCTAGCCTAAACTCCATCCACAGTATCCACTCCGCCGCCACCACCGTCCCCTTCCTCCTCCTCCTCCTCCTCCTCCCACCCGCCGCCGCGGCCGCCGCTGCTCATCACCATCTCCTTCACCTTCTCTTTCCCCACACTCACGCCGCCGCCTACCACGCCGTCGTCGTCCTTCTCCGGGAACGGCCGGGAACTGCACCTCCATTCCCACCACCTCAGCCGAGCCCCTCCCCTCTCGACCTCTCGCGGCTCTCTCCCAACGCTCTCTCTCTCTCTCTCTCTCGCTGTCTCTCTCCCTCCCTTTTCTCAAGCCGTCTCATGGCGCCTGCCCACGGTCGGCGGCTGGCCAGCAAAGGCGGCAGCGGCAACCACGCCCTCCCCTCCGCCAGATCCGGCGGGAGGGCAGGCGCAGTGAGAGGGCCTCCTCCGACGTCGACCGCAAGACGGCCTCCGCGCCGCTATCTCATCTTCCCGTTCTCTCCCCACCCCGAGCGATCCATCCATTCCCCCTCCCCTCAAGCGATTCCCCGGTTCCCCTTCGCAATCCGCACTCAACTCCCTTCCAAGATCCGATTCCCCAACCACTGCTCAGTCGCCTAAACCCTAGCGCCGCCATGGATTCGGCTACGCTCTCGCCCACCACCACCAGCACGCAGCAGCTCGCCGCCGCGCTAGATCTGGGACTGGGAGGATGAGGGGTGGGTGGGTGTGGCTGCTTCTGCGGTCATCGACGCCGCCCCCGCCTCCTCCTGCTCCTTGTTATTCTCCTCCCTAGCATCCACGATCACGCTGCCTCCAGCCCTCTACTGGTACATCCACGCTACCTCCAGCCCTCCAGCCATCTAACCCGGGTCCTGCACATAGCTCCCCTGAGGAACGCCGCCATCATCCCTTCTGACCACATCAACCTCCACCTGGGATTCTAGATTTCAAGGAAGCAGAAGTACGAGGTTGTCTTGCCCCTCTCTCCTTCCTCTTCCCCTCCCCTCCCCTAACGCTTCTTCTTCTTGTGTGCATTTTTTTGCAGATGGGGGCAAAGGGGATGGGCACCTGGTTGTTCTTGTTCTTTTCTGATGGGGCAGATGGGATGGAGACTTGTGGGTGGAGCCGTGGAGGTAGAGACTGAATCTTATTTTTGTTTAGATCTGATGCTAATGAATGGATGTGATGTGAGATTTGGTGGCTGATTAGTTTGTGATGCAGTGCATATTCTGAAAATAGAGAATAACATTTTAGATGCAGATTATTTTTGCTTAGTGATGTTTGTAGTGGGATTTAGTGTAGTAAAAATTGCTTCTTCAATAGTGATTCTATTGACTGATTTTGTCTGCATTGGTTCCACAAGAAAATTTTTTTTTGGTCTGCAGATGCATATGTTGTGCACACTTGTGATTGCAATGTGAGGGTGGTTTGCTCCTGTATGCTGTAGCGTATTACTATATGAAAACCTAAGTAAGCATTGACTAAGATAAAAACAATATCGTGTTCTCTCTACATTGGTTCCACAAGAATTTTTTTTGGGTCTGCAGATGCATATGTTGTGCACACTTGTTCTTGCAATGTGTGGGTGGTTTGCTCCTGTATGCTGTAGCGTATTACTATATGAAAACCTAAGTAAGCATTGACTAAGATAAAATAGTATCGTGTTCTCTATTAGTACTTAAAAACTCTGCAGAAAATACTGATACATTCAAATTGATTTAGGCTGAAGCTGTCTCATCAGGAGAATCCTTGAAACTAAGTCCAGAGGAGCGGCTGCAGGACCAGAGAAAGTAACCATATATCAGCCACTCTAAAATCATGGTAGGTAATCAGGAGATTAAAATGAAATTGAAATCATATCCTGGCATGATTCTTGTGTGATGCATATACTAGTATGTGTAGGAGTTGGGAGTTGCATTCTCATCCATTAGAATATGAACAAGAGCATCTCTGAATTAGTAAAAGGACCATATAATAATTTCAGCTGTAGAACATGTGTAACTAATAGGATATAAATATTTTGATTTATCTAACAAGTAGAAAGATTAGTTATAGTTCAAAATTATGAGTGTGCCAGCTGAATTTCATGCTTATGGCTGTATTTGTTTGCTTTGCAGGCGACAAGGGTTTATTGCTTCGTGCACAAGGTTCCTGTCTGCGGCGAATGCATCCGCTTCCCGGAGCATCAGTTATGCGTGGTGAGCCTCTCGGCCTGTTGCATATCCTTGGATTCCAGAGTACAGTAGAGTGATTGCATTCTGAATAAGTTAAGCTATCATGAGACTATCACAATGTTTCTATATTGTTTTTTATGGTTGTATTTCACAGTTTCAGCTGCCTTGTTGGGTAATTGGGAATTGTTGGTTAATGATATATTGGGCTTGATTACCTTTAAACCTACAGTGATGTAATCAAAATGTTCACAAAACCTTGTGCCACTAACTTGATCCATTATCTTAAAAAAGTTTAGTAGGTGAGGCAGGTGATGTTTAGCAGATTTCATTTTGTGTGAGCTTATTACTTTGATTCGAGCACAAATTCATGTTTGGCTAGGTATATACATATTGGATATGAGGTACATTTGAGATCTTTTGATTCTGTCAGGAGGAATTGGAACATGCCAGCTACATCTGATAATTCTAGATTTATTATAGCAGTTTTCAGATTGACTATAAGATAATTCATGTAATCTTCCTGAGTTATTTAACCACATAGCTTCCTAAGATACATCAACATAAATTTGATATTCTCAGGTGGTAAAATAATTATTCCATAATCCAGTTTATAGCTCTGTTTGGATCAGCTCTATTTGCATTTTTAATGTAATAGTGACCACTGAAAACAAATGAAAATGGCGTTGCAAGGAAATGACAGATGCATAGTGGTTCTATTACTTATGCTATGTAACTGCGTCATGTGCAGGACAAATGTGCCAAAAACCAAATGTGATATCTGTTGGTTGCTTGCAGGTTGGCACTTTTAGTGGCCAGAGTATTTTTTTTTGCGTTGGTTGCTGGAACGCAGGATTTTTTGGCACTAGTTGCTGACTGCTGGCAGGATGCAGGCCGGAAGTGCAGCGGCTGCTTGGTGGAATTTTTTTGCTGGCTACTGGCAAGATGCACGCCGCCGAAACTTAGTGGCTGCTAGGTGGAATTTTTTGGTGCAGGAACTTGGCACTACCTGTAGGAACTTTGTAGTCAGCTGGGACTTGTGTAGTTGGATGGTGGATGGATCATTTTGTATTCATGTTTTGTGCTTTTGTATGGAAATATGTTGGAAACTGTATTTTGGAACTTGCTTTTGTATGGGCTAGAAAATTAATTATGGCTGGAATGTGATTATAATATAATTATGCAAATGGTTGTGGTTTATATTTTGTGATTGCTTTTTAATTGGGCTGGCCCATAATATGGGCTAGAATTGTATTGTTGGGCTATAGTGAAAAAAACGTAAAAGCAAATTTGTAGCTGGGTCAAAAACATATTTGGGCCAATTGGGCTGATTGTAATTGAAAATAAAAAAGCCCACGCTATATGGGCTGAATGTGAATTGCCATGTCATTTGCCACATCATCCGCCTTGTCATCAGTAACATTAGATGTCATCATACACGTGGCGTTATTCGGTTCAATTTGTTATGACGAATTTGTCTCGTCATTCATCAATGACAGGAGAACTATCGTCACAGTATCAATGACGATGTCCTCTGGTGGTCACAGAAGCTGGATAGTGACCCACCTTCTGTGATGACAGCCATTTCGTTATTGCAGCCAGGCAGTGACGAGAAACAGGCTGTTATCGTCATAATGTAATCGTCACAGAAGCCCAGAATTCCTGTAGTGGATCTCCGGCGAAGGGGTAAGTCCTACATTCCACCGGGCCTGGCAATTATGTCAACTATATTGGTGCTGTTTAAGGCTGCATCGCTTCGACCTCTTGGATCGCTCTGGTTTGATTGATATATTTGCCGACCTGCCTATCATGTATCTTAGTTAATCTAGTTTGATTGCTCGATTTACTTGTATTGGCTGGGATCTACTTTAGGGTTTTTGTCGGTATCGACTAAATCACTTTACTAGATTAGATTAGCTAAGGTATCTACCACTCTTAAAAATCAGTCAAAGGCTTGATTGTTTAGACTTTATGTTTGTTTGCAAACTCCTAGTTGCATTGACCTTAGTCGTGCTTATAACCATAAAAACTAACATGCCATTGATTGCCAATAAGGGTTTCATCGGGGTTTTAGCCGATGAGTTATATGGACGTTGTATCGGCTTATAGAGATTATATACAAGTTGGGTTTAGCCGATTGCAACAAAGGTTTCATTACTTATCTAATCGTTTGGATTTAATGACATCGGACCTTCAGCCGATGTATGCTTTAACATTCGGATCGTTGCTTATTCTATCATATCGTTATTAGCCGATTGATTTCTACTAGATTATATTGTTGCTTAATTACATTATTATCAGCCGATTGTCTATATATCATTATTTACTCAAGTATCATAATATACATTGGAAATATAGTTGATTGCTTATAACCCTATCGGCATCAGCTGGAATTGCTCCATAAGCTTGTCAGCCAATTGGTTATTTGATCTGTTGTTTACATATCTTGTCAGTTGCAGGATCAAACTGACAGGCACGCCCCCATCTCATCAATTCTAGGACCTACATTGGAGCTAAGCAGATATCCCAGGCTATTGCTATTGTCAACTTAGTTTGTACCAACACAGTTCCGGCACTATCGGCCGAGCGCCGATTTTTCATCACCACGTTGACTACAACAAAACCCCAAATATGTGAAACCTCATATGTGTTGTTCATCTATGAGCCATTTCTTGCCTTCTTAGGCCCACGCTGGTCAAATTTCAATGCTACTTTTTCTTAAAAAGAGCACTGATGCCCATTAAGAATACCTAATCGGGCTGGCTCGCTCTCATGGTCCCTCTCGGTTGTCTCTCATCTCTTTCCTTTTTACGGAGTGTCCTTCCATGGCTCTCTTTCATCTCTCTTGATCCTTCCTACGTCTCCCTCTCTCTCCCTCCCTGCTACACCACTGCCTGTCATCCTCCTCACCAGCGGAACCTCCACCCATATTGCTATTTGATACGGTAATAGATAAATCTGCAAGCACGTGGATAGCACTGTAGCATTTCATTTAAGAGTATTCCATGGGTGTCTTTATTTGTTTTTCTACATGGAAGGCGACAGTGTAAAATATAGACCGATATATTCTAATTACGCTATAATTAATATGCCATAGTCTAACAGAGAAAAGTGATAAAAATAATGATACTTGGGTAGTGTGGCACCCAGAAAATTAAAATCTATAAATAAACTAGCAAGTGGAGAAAGACAAAGGAAAGCTACGATTTAATATGTACTTATATATTTATCATGCTTAATCGTTACAATAATCATATACATATACATGGCTAGAACTTAATTGTAGACACCCAAGTACTACCGAGATACTACTTCCTGTTAGTTTGCCAGTGTGGTTAAGGCATTTTACGAACTCTTACGTCATATCCGAACGTGGTGGAATACAAAAGACGGACATGGCAATCACCACCTGTCATCTAATTCACATTCCGTGGGGCATACCGGTATCTAATGGCATTTAATGAATCTAAGCACCATGTTTATATTGCTTAATAATATCAATAATTCCCCCTGACTCCTACCCTTCAGATGGACAAGTTAGAACTAGTACAATCCGTTAAGTTTGTTGGACCGATGCCTTGGCATAGATCGACTAGCCTAAACATTTATATTTCATGAAAGAACTATAAACTAATGATAGGTCATACAATTGACAAAGTATGAACAACGAACACAATTAAATAAAGAAGATAATTTCATTACTAAGCTCATAGTCTTACAAAGAGAGCAAATTAATGAAGACATACCCGCATCTCCAACACGACTAGGAAACAAAGAACTATTCAAAGCCTAAACTAACTAATCTAGAGAGTATATAAGTATAAAATAGAGAGATTGCTTCTTGAGTGTGTGTTGTAAAGGGAGAATGCACCCTCCATTTTAAATCATCCAATGGCGGTTGCGAAGGTCGGTTTATCTGTGACCATCGGCAGGGAGGGTTGATGAGTCACCACGTGGAAGGTGGAGATGACGTATGGTCAGTCTGTTTTGCCAAACCTTGTTCCGGCCCAACCAGGGGCACCACCCTTCTCCACTGGCTTTCCCCTATAGGCTGACATGTGGGTTGATGAGGGATGTTAGGTCTCGATCTTCCGATAGGTATTGATAAACAGTCAATTTGGGCGGAGTCGTGACACAACTCGATCCGGCTTCTGAACGAACACGCTACTGAGCCCCGCAATCGAAGCACCACGTCTCCTCTAGTTATCAACCGTGCAGAAACCCGGTTGACCTCGCCGAGAAGGCTAATCCCTGCATGCGAATCGAAGAACACAAGCAAGAACAAGATAGATTGCAATCGCTCCATCGCTACATCGCTTCAATCCCTTTTGTAGCTCACCATAGTAATCATGTACAGATTTATCCCCTTGTTCTAAACGCTTCAGTTTCTTGTTTAAATCTCTAAGATAAGATGGAGGAACAAATGTATCACGCATAGCTACATTAAGTTCTTTCCTAGTAGTAGGTAAAGGTCTCCATACATCTAACCTAGTCCACCAAATATAAGCAAACTCTTTAAACTCACTAGTAGCTTGTCGAACTCTATGTTGCTCGGGCACAAGGTGGGTACTAATTTTTTTCTCTACTATCATCTCCCAATCAAAATATTTCTCAGCATCATAATAACCTGAAAAAGATGGTATTTTAAACTTAACCTTAGCATAAGGATCTTCGGGCACACGATTATGTCACCTTGTTGGTATCGCTGATTTTGAGCGCCACTCATACCTATCATTGCAAACATAAAAACTCTGCTACACGGTGTAGTGGTGCCTCTCAACAACTTAGGCAAATGGAGCACCTTATCAAGCTCTTACAAGTGTCTTATCAGCAATGCTAAGGACGGTACAACCGGTGGCTAGTTCATGTCACCTTGAAGGACGTGATGTGGCGATTGCAAGGATCAAAGCGATGCTGACCAGAAGTATATACGTGCAGCTTGGGAGGCATGATATATATTAGCAAAGGAACGCAATTGTGCTAATCAGAAAATGCAAAGTTGAATAATAGTTAAAAGTACTAGTCAATGTGCTGGCCTAGCCTAGACTCAACTCTAGCTCAAGCAAGCACCTGACAACACTAAGGACTAGATATGAATCAATGCACAACTCTGCATTATGAAAACATACTCAAAGAATGAATGATTTTTTTTTCTTTCTTGGTGCGGGTTTTTTAAGCACCTTTTCTGCCCTTTTTTTTTTCTTTTTTTAGGTGCAACTTTTTCTTTCTTTTTCTTTGCACCTTTCTGCCTTTTCTTTCTTTTTTATTTTTTACTATTTTTTAACAAAAACTGATCGCTGGCCTCGAATAGGGACTCAAATGTAAATATGAAAATTACAGGGACTCAAATGCAAAGTGTAAAACTAAATTAGATCTCCTCAAAAATGGAATGTATCATGTAGGTTCCGTTTTTACAAAAATATCTCTCAAATCTGGAACTTTAACACTTTCAATACTCGATGGAGAGAAACTACTTACGGAAGAGTTGGGGCTCGTCCTCTCCCCTCACATGCGCACTAACTCCCCAACACAGTAACTCTAAAAATCGAGCAACTCCAAAACCGTTGGATATTAACTTCTCCAAACTACGAAAACGGAAACCAACCATCGAGACGATTCAATTCTTCAAGGTCCCGGCAACAACCGACGGGATGAAAAACTAAATTCAAAACTGACGTACAACTCACAGACTTGAGTGATGAGTCCTAGACCTAAGTGATGAACAGATGCAATACTCAAAACTAAAAATGAAATCTAAAACTAAACCAGCACTCGACACGATGATGCAATCCAGAATTCAACAAAGCAAAATCTAATAGAACAACGCAACGGCTCAAATTGTCTAGGTAAAGAATAAATATTTTTGTGTGGCAATTTTCTGGTTATGGGAAGATAACTTACCTAACGGGCAACCACGCTTTGATACCAACTGATGAGGGATGCTAGGTTCCGATCTTCCGATAGGTATTGATAAACAGACGATTTGGGCAGAGTCGCGACACAACTCGATCCGGCTTATAAACGAACACGCTACTAAGCCCCGCAATTGCAGCACCACGTCTCCTCTGGTTATCAACCGTGCTGAAACCCGGTTGACCTCGCCGAGAAGGCTAATCCCTGCATGCGAATCGAAGAACACATGCAAGAACAAGATAGATTGCAACCAAATTGCTTATGAATGATTAAGCACTCGAATTTGG